CCTTGGTGTTACGCCTGTGAATATGTTATGTTACATGGCAAAAGAAACTTCGTAGGTAGAATGTAGATTGCTAATCAGCTGACTTTGAGACGGGGGGGATTATCCTGGATTGCCTGGGTGAGCCCAGTGTAGTCACATGAGCCCTTAAAAATGGAAATGGGAGGCAGAAGAGTCAGTCAGAGAGATGCAGCCGAAGTTGAAGTCGGAGGAATTCCAAGCATGAAAAGGACCTGACGCACCATTGCAGGCTTGAAGACGGAGGGGCCATGTGGAAAGGGAGAGAAACAACTGCTAACCTCCCAAATGAATTTGGAAGTGGATTCTCCCAAAAAGCTTTCAGGAAGGAGTGCAGCCCTGTCAGCACCTTAATTTTGGTCTTGTGAGATCCTGAGTGGAAACCCTGGTGGCGTAGTGGTTAAGTGCTACCACTGCTAACCAAAAGGTCAGCAGTTCGAATCCACCAGGCACTCCTTGGAAACGCTGAGCTATAGGGTCACTATGAGTCAGAATTGAGTCAACTGCAACGGGTTTGGCTTTGGTTTTTTGGAGACCCTGAGCAGATGACTCAGCCAAGCCCATCTGCACTTCTTGTGAGATAATTGCTACTGGTGTTGTGTGTCGTAGAGTCGATTCCAACTCACAGTGAGCCCATATGACAGAGCAGAACTGCCCCACAGGGTTTTCTAAGCTGTAATCTTTACAGGAGCAGATCGCCAGGTCTTTCCCCCACAGACCCGCTGGGTATGTTCAAACCACCGACCTTTGAGTTAGCAGCTGAGCGCGGTTTCCATACCAGGGCTCCTTGTGAGATAATAAACGGGTGTTATTTTAAGCTGTTAAATGTTGGTAATTTGTTATGGCAGCAATAAAAAACTAATACAACACCCCAAAGTTGATTCAAATATTTAAAAACAAACAAACTTGTCAAGCATATAAAAATGCAACTAAGAAGCATACTCCCAGGTAAACTTTGGATCAAAGATGAAATCAAAGAAGATACTACAAACTATCCTGAAAACAATGACTAGAAAACCCTTCATGCCCAGACGTATGGGTAAGGGAAAAGGTGTTTTAAATCTTTCCTTATTAAAAACAAAGGGGAAAGAGAAAATAACATATTACTTCTCCTAAGAAATTAGAAAAAAGACAGCACAATAAACCAAAAGAAACTAGGGAGAGATAAGCGATAATGATAAAATCTAAAAATCAATATTAAAAAATAACTAGGAAGAACAAATAAACCCAAAATCTCATTCGTTGAAAACACCACCATAAAAAAAAAAAAATCAGACAAATCCATGGCAAGCTTGTTTGTGGAAAAAACATAAATAGCAAAGATATAGGAGCTTAGCAATGAAAAAGGGAACATAACTACAGAAAATGTGAAGTTAAAAGAATTACGAGAGAGTGCTATGTGCAACACTGTGGCAGTAAAATTGAAAAAAATAAAGGAAATGAGTTCCTAGAAAGGTATAGAATTATTCAAACTGATCCCAAAAGAAGTTACTAACTTGAATTGACTACCATAAAAGAGCTTGGAAAACTGGTTCAAGATATTCCAAGAGTCACCAGATGGATTCATAAATGAAGTTTTTCTAACTTTTAAAAACAGATAATTCTAATGTTATTTAAGCTATTCTAGACCATAAAAAAAGATCAGTATAATACAGATCAATCCCACTGTCTTAGTTACCTAGTGCTGCTATAACAGAAATACCACAAGTGGGTGGCTTGTAACAAACAGAAATTTATTTTCTCACAGTTCAAAGATTTCATTTTACTTGGATCCATAATCGATGCCCGTGGAAGCAGTAGTCAAGAAATCGAACGACATATTGCATTGGGAAAATCTGCTGCAAAAGACCTTTTTAAAGTGTTAAAAAGCAAAGCTATCACTTCAGGGAATAAGGTGCGCCTAATCCAAGCTATGGTGTTTTCAATCACCTCATATGCATGCGAAAGCTGGACAATCAATAAGGAAGACCGAAGAAGAATTGATGCCTTTGAATTACGGTGTTGGCGAAGAATATTGAATATACCATGGACTGCCAGAAGAACAAACAAATCTGTCTTGGAAGAAGTACAGCCAGAATGCTCCTTAGAAGAGAGGATGGTGAGACTTCATCTCACATACTTTAGACATGTTATCAGGAGGCACCAGTCCCTGGAGAAGGACATTATGCTTGGTAAAGTAGATGGCCAACGAAAAAGAGGAAGACCCTCAATGAGATGGATTCACACAGTGGCAGCAACAATGGGCTCAAGCATAACAATGATTGTGAGGATGGCGCAGGACCGGACAGTGTTTTGTTCTGTTGTGTATAGGGTCACTATGAGATGGAATTGAATGGACGGCACCTAACAACAACAACAACACAGTTTAGGAGGCTAGAAGTCCAAATTCAGGGTGCTGGCTCTGGGAAGGCTTTCTCTCTGTCAGCTCTGGGGGAAGGTCCTTGTCTCTTCAGCTTCTATTCCTTGGCTTCTTGGTGGTCTTCATGTGGTGTGGCATCTATCATCCCCCATCTCTGCTTCTCAGCTGTGATCAGCTTAAGACACAGCCCACACTAATGCTGTCTTATTAACATAACAAAGAAAGCCTATTCCCAAATAGGATTATAACCACAGGTATAACCTCATTGCCATCGAGTTGATTCTGACTCATAGTGACCCTATAGGACAGAGTAGAACTGCCTCACACGGTTTCCAAGGAGTGCCTGGTGGATTCGAACTGCTGACCTTTTTGTTAGCAGCCGTAGCTCTTAACCACTACACCACCAGGACTTCCAACCACAGGTATAGGGGTTAGGATTTACAACACATATTTTTGGGGGACACAATTCAATCCATAACACCTACATAGTAAAAGCTCACAGTTTCTAAAGAAATATGAGCACATGTTGTTAGGTGCTGTCAAGACGGTTCCAATTTGTAGCGACCCTCTGCACAACAGAATGAAACCCTGCCCGGTCCTGCGCCATCCTCACAGTTGTTGGTATGCTTGAGCCCATAGGTACAGCCACTGTGTCAATCCATCTCATTGAGGGTCTTCCTCTTTTTTGCTGACCCTCTACTTCACCAAGCATGATGTCCTTCTGCAGGGACTGGCCCCTCCTGATAACGTGTCCAAAGTACGTGAGATGAAGTCTTTCCATCCTTACTTCTGATGAGCATTCTGGCTGTACGTCTTCCAAGACAGATTTGTTTGTTTTTCTGGCAGTCCATGGTATATTCAATATTGTTCAACAACACCACAATTCAAAGGTGTCAATTCTTCTTCGGTCTTCCTTATTTACTGTCCAGCTTTCACATGCATATGAGGCGATTGAAAACACCATGGCTTGGGTCAGGCTCACCTTAGTCTTTAAAGTGACATCTTTGCTTTTTAACACTTTAAAGAAGTCTTTTACAGTAGATTTGACCAATGCAATGCAATGCAAACGGACAGATACGTGGGGGATTACACATAGAGCCCAGCAATATTCAAATTATGTGAACAGTAGATTGTACTCCAAGAATGTAAGGAGTATTTCAATGTCAGAAATCTATTAATATGATCTATTTGTCTATCAACATACTAAAGAAGAAACTTTAGATGATGCTAGATGCTAAAAAGTTATTTCCAATAAAATCCTATGGCAAATGAGAATAGAAGCAACAAAGATCATTTACTAAAAACAAACAACAAACATTATTCTAAATACCAAAATATTAAAACTATTTCAAGTAAAATGATGGAATAGACAGGGATGCTCACTTTCACCATTATTATTTAACATTTTGTTATGTTTTCTAATAAATTTAGTAAGATAAGAAAATGAAATAACTGGCTATAAACATTAGAAAAACGCTAAAATTTCTCTCATTTTTGTTGATAATATGGTTCGGTATCTATAGAGACAAGTGTAAAATCACTAGAATTAATAAGAGAATTTGGAAAGGTAACTAAATTCAAGATGAATACACGAATAGCTTTTCTCTATTCTGGTGCTAAGCACTTAGAAATGAAAATAAAAGAAAAATATTTTATTAACAATAGCAACATACGTATAAAAATGATAAGGGATAAATGTAATAATAAAATCTATTAATGTATAAATTTAATGAAATTCCAATTAGAATCACAACAAGGTTTGCCTTTTTTATTGGAAAAAATATCTTAACACTTTTACATGGGAGAATAAAATGTCTAAGAACGCTAAGAAAGGTATGAAAATAACAGTGAAGATTGATTTCCCTTACCTGATATCGTAAGGTATTATACAGCCACTCTAATCAAAGCAATATGGTATTGGCATAGCAAGAGAAAGGTAGATCAGTAAAACAGCATAATGAATCCAAAAATAGACACTAATGTATATGAGAGTGTTACAAGATGTATGTGTTAATTCAAATCAGTGGCAAAAGGTCTATTATTTGATAAATGGTGCCATCGAAATAGGCTATTGGTCGGGATGGAATTAAAGCCAAGTAGATCTCTATCTTATACCATATACAAAATTAATTGTCAAATGAATTGCAGACATAAATATAAAGAGCAAAACAGTAAAAATCTTGCAAGAAAATCTGAGAGACTATACGTACAACGTTGAGGCAGAGAAATGAGGGAAACATTTTTAACCCACACTGGCAGCGGAAAGAACTGACAGATATATCTGACTTTATAAAAATTAAAAACTTTTTTGGTAAAAGTTCTAAACGAAGTCAATAGACAAACAACAGATTTGGGGGAAATTGCAATATAAATGACAAAGGTAATAAAAAAGGGTTCTCGTAATTTAAACAAAAGTCTAACAGCCCAAAGAAAAATGGGCAAAGCATATGAATAGCCAACTCTCAAAAAAAAAAAAAAAAAAAAACAAAAAACAAAAAACCCAATATCCAACAAACATTTGAAAAGATGCTCAATCTCATTTGAAATAAAAGAAATGCTCCAACCGGAGTCACATCCCCACAATCCTGGACGCTGATCAGCCCGTATAGGACATGCTTGCCTTTACCTGGTATTCACGTGCAGCTCAGCCAGCAGGTCACTCTGCATATAGTCCCAGGGCAGTTCCATAGCGCCAAGATAGTATCTTCTGGTGGCACTAAAGCTGAATGGTAGCAGGCACAAAAAGAAGCAGACAGAAAGCTCTATTTGCATGGCTCTTAATGTTAGAAAATGTTCAACTGGAGAAACATAAGATTAATTCCTCTCTAAATTATCTTTGGCTCCAAAAAAGTTAGAAAAAAGGTAAAATTTCTATGATTTAGCGAAAAGTTCCAACATTTTCCCAGAGAATTTTAGGGAATTTTGCCCGCTGGGTGGGACAGCAGCATCAGCGCTAACTGATAGGATTGCTTCCTTTTTGGCAGGGGAAAGCATCCACAGGAAGAACTGAAGTAGGAAAAAAGGAGGCTGAGCTAAAGCTTAACCCATTCACCTCTGAGAGCAGTAGGGTATTAGGCTGCTTTAATAAGAACTTTTAAGAAAAGGAAGAGAAGAAGAAGGTCAAGGTGAAGAGGAGTTTCAATTTGTATTCGTGTCTCTAACCTCCTCTAACCCTCTTCCTTAGTAGCAGCAGTAAGAGAAAGTTGGGGTGATGTCGAATAGTCTGAAATCCACTTGCACAAGCAAGAGTAAGCATGGATCCTAATAGCCACCCTGCTTCTAGCCTTGCCCCTCACACAGAGTAACTTTTTAAAACTATAAAATTCAAAAATCCTCTAACAGCTTCTGACCTCACTGAGTAAAATCACACATCTTTACCATGGCTTAGAGCATCCCACGTGATCTGCACCCCACTTCCCCCAACCTCTGTGGTCTCATCTCCAACTACTCTTCCTCTCACTCACTCTACTTGGGCCATGCCGGCCTCCTTGCTCATCCTTGAAATACCAAGCAAAGTTGTGCCCCTAGACCTTAGTACTTGTTATTTCCTCTCCCTGAAACACATTCCCCCACGTTTCAACCTCACACCTCCTTCAAATCTTGGCCCAAATCTTGCCTTCATAACGAGATCAGTTATGGACCACCATATTCAAATTTTAAGCTCTCTACCCCCACCGGCACTACTGATACCCCCTCCGTGCGTTATTTTTCTCCGTAACACTCATAGTCACCTGACATCTATTTACTTGTTTACCTATTTTAAGGAGCCCTGGTGGCACAGTGGTTAAAGCGCTGGGCTGCTAATCAAAAGGTCTCCAGTTCGAACCAACCAACCTCTTCATGGGAGAAAGATCTGCTTTGTAATCCTTGTAAACTCTATGGGGTAGTTCTACTCTGTCCTATAGGGTCGCTATGAGTCAGAATTGACTCCACAGCAGTGGGTTTTATTTATTTTGGGTTGTTGTTACCTCGTCCTTTTTTATCTCTTCAGCTTCTGTTCCTCGGCTCCTGTCTCATTTAATCCTCACAGCTACACTGCAAAGTAGACACAGATGAAGCAACTGAGGAGCATAGAAGCAAAAGGCCTGCCTAAGGCCACACACGCGTCTGTTTGTCATACTGTGGGGGCTTGCGTATTGCTGTGATACGGGAAGCTATGTCACTGGTATTCAAATACCAGCAGGGTCACCCATGGCAGATAGGTTTCAGCTGAGCTTCCAGACTAAGACAGACTAGGAAGAGGGACCTGGTGATCTACTTCTAAAAAACCTGGCCAGTGAAAACCCTACGAATAGCTGTGGAACATTGTCTGATATAGTGTCAGAAGATGAGCCCCTCAGGTTGGAAGGCCCTCAAAATATGACTGGGGAAGAGCTGCCTCCCCAGAGTAGAGTCAACCTTAAGGACGTGCATGGAGTCAAGCTTTTGGGACCTTCATTTGCTGATGTGGCACCACTCAAAATGAGAAGAAACAGTTGCAAACATCCATTACATGTTATCGGGTGGGACCAGTAAGTACCCAAGGACATCATGCTTGGTAAAGTGGAGGGTCAGCGAAAAAGAGGAAGACCCTCAAGGAGATGGATTGACACAGTGGCTGCAACAATGGGCTCAAGCATAGCAACGATTGTAAGGATGGCGCAGGACCGGGCAGTGTTTCCTTCTGTTGTACAGAGGGTTGCTATGAGTGGATGGCACCTAACAACAACAACAACAACAAGGCCACACAACTACCCACTTGTCCTAGACACTGTTGTAGGCGCTGGGTGCACAACAGTGATTAAAAAAAAAAAACTCAGACAATAAACAATAATTACAGTAGATGAGTGCGCTATACAGTACGTTAGAAGGTAAAACAAGTGCTCGGCATAAAAGGAAAGTACGCAGGGTAAAGAGGAGTGGAGGTGTACCAGTTGCAATTTTAAAAGTGGATGGTCATGGAAGGTCTCACTGAGAAAGTTACATTTGAGCAAAGGGACTTTGGCTTTTACACCGAGGGTAGTGGGGAGCTATGGCAGCGTTCTGAGTAGAGGAGGGACGTGATCGGAAGTACCTTTTACACTGAGCGTTCTGGCTGCGGTGGGGAGAACAGACTGTAGGGGGGAAGGGTAAGAGCAGGGTGACCTGTTAACTGGGAGCGAAAAATGATAGTGGCTTGGAGGCGGTGAGAAATGGTTGTATTCTGGATTCATTGTGAAGGTAGACTTTATGGGGGTTGCTGATTCATTGGATCTGAGAGGTTTGAGCCAAGGTTTTTGGTCTGAGCAAGTGAAGAGTGGAGTTGCCATTAACTGGGATGGGGATGGGTGGGGAGATGTTGATCTTTTCAGCGGCCTGGCACAACCTTGAAGGGCTCCGTAAGCATTGCAAGCCCCGTGCTCATTTCTCTCCTAACGGTTTTCTTATTGTGGTTGTTAACACTTTTTAAATGTCTGTCTTCCTCCACTAGAACAGCGTCGGAAACAACGCGAGCGCTAATAAATATTGGTTCAATGTTTACATGAACAAGCGCGACGAGTCTCCTTTCTTTATTTTCAGTTAAGCCGCGGGTAAGATACGCACCCGCAAACAGCCGCTTCGCGTCCAGGAAAACGTCTCTGGGTGAGCCCGGAGAAAGTCAGGAGCGCTGGTGGGCCGGCTCCACCCGGGGGACTTTCTGCGCATGCGCGTTTCGGTGAGTCTGCTGGGCGGGGCCGCAAGGCCTGTGCCGCCCACCGAGCTTTGTGACGCAGCTGCACGCACCTGCGTGGGGTGGGGAGCCGCCGCTGAGCGCCGGCTCCCTCCCCCTCTTTCGCCGCCGCTGTGGGGATGGAAACATCTGCCCCACGTGCCGGAAGTCAGCTGATGGCGACAACGACGCGTCACTTGGCGTCCCACCGCGCCGAGGCCCTGCGGGTGTCCTCGCGAGACGAGCTCGCCGAAATGGCCGCGTCCAGTCAAGGTAAGGGAAGGCGCGCGCGCGGCCTGCGCCTCGGGAAGACGCCTTCCTGGGCTCCGGAAGAGGAAGGGCCCCGCGCCTGCCAGTCCTGTCCGAGCTCTCCAGAGAGCCCGAGCGGCGCGGGGCGGGGAAGGTGGCCAGCGCCCGGAGTTTGCCCCCGGCCCCGCCGCTTCCAGTCCAGTCAAGGTCATGTGCCGGACTGGGGCCGAACCGCCTCTGGGTGTCGCCTCCGGTCGGGCTCACCCAGCCTCTTCCTGCGCCGCCCCAAGTAGCTGAAGCTGGGATACATTCCGTCCCTGTTCTCGGAAGCGCTCTTGCCCCTTGAGACTAAGGTTGCTTCTTTGTTCGTTTGTGTATTCATCTCAAAGTCTGACAAGCGTGGTTCTGTGTGCGAGGCACTTCTGCAACTTCGTTATTATGGTTTTGAAAATGTAGCACACGTGGGATGATATTTTAAAAGTCTTTTATTTAGTCCGCGTGGTCAGAGAAAGAGTCCGCATAATATGCAGTGGAGCACGTCTTTAAATTATGGTTCTTAACCTACTTCTTTGAATGTTTAGAGTTAAATTCAGTTCTGTACTGACTCACAAGATCCTATTAGTAAACACAGCCTTCATCCAAAACTATACTTAAATTATGTTAAAAAACAAAGGTAATGAAAATACTTAAAACACATCATTTCCTCATTCTCTACCATGTTTTACTATTATATACGCTCTTAAGGTTATTTATATCTATTGTATTTGTACGGTGGAGATACCATAGTATGGTGTGCTGCTGTGCATCTCTGCACTTAGTCATATTCAGTGATGCCATAATTCAGTGATGTCACTCTCAAGGTGGGTGTATTGGCATACACTACACTGGAAATTGGCATACACTACAAATCAGCCCTCTCTCCCCCTAAGCTGGTTGTTAAACGTTTACCAACATACCACTAAATTTAGGTGACTGTAAGGGGTTCGAAAGGAGCCCTGGTGGTTCAGTGGTTAAAGCACTCAGCTGCTATTAGGTTAGCAGTTGGAACCCACCGACTGCTCTGTGGGAGAAAGATGTGGCAGTCAGCTTCCGTAAAGATTTACAGCCTCAGAAACCCTATAGGGCAGTTGTACTCTGTCCTACAGGATTGCTGTAAGTCTGCATCGACTTGACGACACTGGGTTTTTTGGTAAGGGGTTGGAATGTACAATATAATTATTTTCCTGCAGAGCAGACTGCTCCCAGTCACTTAAAATTTGTAGGTTGATCGCACAGTTGCATCTCAGAAATGGTGAAAAAAATTGAGGTTGACATCATGAATTCCAGTATCATAGTGATGATCATGTAATATTGTGATCATTGGCTTACGGGCCAATAAATATGACTGGTGACATTTATCATCAGTGCTTACTTACCGTTTGATGAATAAATGAAGTTGGGTGAACCAGACAACTCTGATTTGAGTTTATCTAATTTTTTGCCTGGAACTACCTTGGTAAAATTACATTAAAACAGAACTCAAAACTCAATTCTTGTTTTCAGTCATGTTCTTTAACCCAGGGAGAGTTTCTTCAACACAACAGTAATGTTTTATTGCTACATTAGAAAATTAAAAATTAGTTACCTACTTGGGAGGCCATAGAGGGCCCAGGCATCTCCATTTCAGTGTGGAAGTTCCTCAGACATCCATACTTTGGTTCTCCTAAATTGGGATCTGTGATCCATCTTGAATTCTTAATTGTATTTTGTGTAAGGTGTAAGGGAGGGGGTTGAGAAATACAGATATCTAATATTTCTAATACTATTTGTTGAAAAGACATTTCCCCCTCCCCCCCCGAATTACTTTGGTGCCACATTATTGAAATCAAGTGACTCTCATGGATCTGTTTCTGGATTCTGGATTCTCTTTCATTGATATATTTGAATACCACACTGTGTCAAATTCTGTAGTGTAATTCTTGTGGCAGATTGTATTTTCCTAAATGATTGTGGTAATATCTCCCATTCCACATGTTCTTTGTTCACTGTGACTTTGACACCCCCCCCCCCACTGAGAGATGGGGTGTATATTCCCTTTTCTTGAATCTGGGTGGAGACTTGTGAGTGCTCCAGCAGAATGCTATGGAAGTGACTCTGCATGACTTCCAAGGCTAGGTCTAAAATGAGGATACAGCTAATGCCTGGGTTTCTCTCTATCTCTCTCTCTATCTTTATCTCTATCTTTCTTTCCCTTGGGACACTTGCCCTTGAAGTCAGTTACCTTGCTGTAAGGAAGCCCAAACTAACCAATGTAGAGAGCCCTGTCTTAGTCACCTAGTGCTCTGCTATAACAGAAATACCATAAGTGGGTGGCTTTAACAAACAGATTCATTTTCTCACAGTTAGGAGAACAGAAGTCTGAATTCAGGGTGCTGACTCTAGGGGAAGGCTTTCTCTCTCTGTGGGCTCTGGAGGAAGGCCCTTAGCTCTTTTGAGCTTCTGCTCCTGGGTGATCTTCATGTGGCTTGGCATCTCTTCCACCATCTCTGCTCTGCTCGCTTGTTTAATCTCTTTTATATCTCAAAAGAGATTGACTCAAGATACGCCCTACACTAATCCTGCATCATTGACATAACAAAGACAACCCATTCTCAAATGGGATTATAACTACAGGCATAAAACTAAATTAAAACCGAGGCCACTGAGTCCATTCTGACTCATGGCGACCCTATAGGGTTTCCAAGGCTGTAATCTTTACAGGAGCAGACTGCCACATCTTTCTTCTGTGGAGCAGCTGGTGGGTTCGAACCACCAACCTTTCAGTTAGCAGCCAAGTGCTTTAACCACTGCACCAACAGGGCTCCTGGGCACAGAGGTTAGGATTTACAACACATATTTTGGCGGGGGGAGCACCGTTCAATCCATAACATTCTACTCTCTGGCCCCCCCAAATTCATGTCCTTCCCACGTGCAAAACACATTCACCCTATCACATCATTCCAAAAGTCTTAAGTGTAAGTCCCAAATCTCCTCTTCTGAATCATCTAAATCTAATATGGGTGAGACTTGAGGTGTATTCCATCCTGGGGCAAAATTCCTCTTCATCTGTGAACCTGTGAAATCTAGAATACGAGTTATCTGTTTCTAAAGTAAAATGGTAGAACAGGCACAAGGTAGACATTTCCGTTACAAATGCAAGAAATTGGAGGGAAAGAAGGGATAACAGGCACCTCGCAAGTCCAAAACCCAGTAGAACAAATTACATTAGCTCTCAAGGCTTGAAAATAATCCTCTCATCTGAGACCATCTGGTCAGTAGCCCAGCTTTCCAGACTCTGGGGGTTGGCCATGCCCCCTGGATTCTGGGTGGAGGCCCCTTGGCCCTGGGCTTCACCTCCACCTTCCAGGCAACACTGCTCCCTTGGCTTTAGGCAGTCACATTCTCCTAGTCCATCTGAGTGACAGCCCCACCCCCTCGGCCCTGGCAGGCCCCGTTCTTCTGTCCTCATTGCCCTGGCACACCTTAATGACAGCTCCACACTCCGGAACCAAGTTGGTGAAGACCCAACCCTTTGAAGCCTCAGAGGCTGTGGCCTCCACCCTTTGAAACTGAGAAGGCCCTGCTTCCCGTGTTCCTTCCAACAGTTCTGCTGATCTCTGTTTGATCTCTGTAGAAGGAAGGCTGGCTAGACTACGTCTTACATACTTTGGACATGTTATCAGGAGGGATCAGTCCCTGGAGAAGGACATCATGCTTGGTAAAGGGTCAATGAAAAAGAGGAAGACTCTTGTCTTAGAAATCTAGTGCTGCAGTAACAGAAATGCCACAAGTGGATGGCTTTAACAAACAGAAATTTATTTTCTCACAGTTTAGGAGGCTAGAAGTCTGAATTCAGGGTGCCGGCTCTAGGGGAAGGTTTTCTCTCTCTGTTGGCTCTGGGGGAAGGTACTTCTCTCTTTTCAGCTTCTTTTCCTTGGCTCCTTGGTAATCTTCAGGTGGTATGGCATCTTTCTTCCCTCACTGCAGCTTGCTTCTCTGTTTGCTTAATCTGCTCTTTTATATCAAAAGAGATGGACTTAAGACCCACCCTACACTAATACTGCCTCATTAACATAACAAAAAACTATTTCCAAATGGGATTCTAACAAAAGGCATAGAGGTTAGGATTTACAAGACATATTTTTGGGGGACACACATTCAATCCATAACATTCCACCCCTGGGCCCCCCGAAGTTCATGTTCTTCCTGCATGCACAGCACATTCACCCTATCACATCATCCCAAAGTCTTAAATAACTCCAAGTGCAAAATCTCATCTTCTGAAGCATCTAAATCAAATATGGGTGAGATTTTAGGCATATTCCATCTTAGGGCAAAATTCTTCATTTGTGAATCCATGAAATCTGGAATACAGGTTATCTGCTTCCAAAGTACAATGGTGGAACAGGCACAAGGTAGACATTTCCATTACAAACAGGAGAAATTGGAGATGAAGAAGGGATAATGGGCAACCATCTGGGCAAAGGCCCTGCCCTCCAGACTCTGGGTGTTGGCCATGCTCTCCTGATTCTGGGTGGAGGCCCCTCGGCCCTGGCAGAGGCCCCACCTTCCAGGCTCACAGGTATGGAAACCTCACCCCCTTGGCTTTGGGTGGCCCTGTTCTCTAGTCCACCTGAGTGGTGACCCCATCGATCGGCCCAAGCAGGCCCTGTTCTTTTGCCCCTTGGGCACTGCAGCTCTGCACCCTGGCACATCTTAGTGGCAGCCCCACACTCTGGAACCGAGTTGGTGAAGATCCCACTCTTTGAAACCTAGTAGGCTGTGGCCCCACCCTTTGAGATCCAGGAGATCATGGCCCCGTCCTTTGAAACCGAGAAGGCCTTGCTTCCCGTGCTCCTTCCAACAGTTCTGCTGATCTCCAAGCTGCTCCAGGGATGATCCGTTTCTTTTCTCGGAGGACAAAAGATGTAGCTCCTTTGGCCTGTTTCCTGCCTGTAGAATTCCAAGAGGCAGACAGCATTCTTTCCTTTTGTTCTGTCTCTGTCCCCTTCAGTCTAAGCTGGTGGGTTTTCTGCTGTGGTAGTTGGTTAGAGCCATCAGTCACAGCCTTAATATCTTTAACAAAAGAATGTGTAGCCAAGTCCTTGGTGAAAATTCTAGGACACGTCCTTAGTTTGTAGAACAGAATTTTCCAAATCTTTTAAGTTCTGTTTTCATTTTCACAGTACATTTTTAAGTCCCATCTCTTTCCTCTCGTTTTTTACTGTAAGCGGCAAGGAGAAACCACACAGTCCCTTTAAAATCTTTTTTAGAAATCTCCTCAGCCAGATATTCAAGTTCATCACTTACGAGTTCTATATTCCACCAAACATTTGAACATAGTTCAGACAAGTTCTTTGCCACTGCATAAAAAGCATCGCCCTTCCTCCATTGTCTAATCACGTGTTCGTCATCTTCTTTTAAAGCCTCACCAAAAGCACATTTAATGTGCACATTTCTAGCAACATTTTTGCTGGTGCCAAATGCATTCTCTAAGATGATAGAGTGTTAAAAAGTTTTTAACACTTTAAAGTGTTAAAAAACAAAGATGCCACTTTGAGGACTAAGGTACCTGACCCAAGCCTTGGGCTTTTCAGTCACCCCTCATATGTGTGCAAAAGTTGGACAATGAATAAGGAAGATGGAAGAAGAATGGATGCCTTTGAATTACGGTGGTGGTGAAGAATATTGAATATACCATGGACTGCCAGAAGAATGAACAAATCTGCCTTGGAAGAACTACAGCTAGAATGCTCCTTAGAAGCAAGGATGGTGAGACTACGTCTCACATACTTTGGACATGTTATCAGGAGGGATCAGTCCCTGGAGAAGGATATTGTGCTTGGTAAAGTAGAGGGTCAGCGAAAGAGCGGAAGACCCTCAACGAGATGGATCAACACAGTGGCTGCAACAATGGGCTCAAACGTAGCAACAATTGTGAGGATGGCACAGAACCAGGCAGTGTTTCATTCTTTTGTATGCAGGGTCGCTATGAGTCAGAATCAACTCCAGGACACCTAAATACAACAACCACCTTTTTATCAATTCCAGTGCCCTTCATTGCTTTCTGCATTTCCAAGCTTCCATCTGGCATCATATTCTGTCTGCCTAAATAACTCCCTTTAGTATATTTCTTTGAATATTATGCCTGTCCTGTGCTTTTCCTAATCTTCTGGAATTACAGTTATAATAAAACAAACCAAACCGGTTGCCATCAAGTTGACCCCAACTCATGATGACCCCCTGTGTTACAGAGTAGAACTGAGCTCTATCGGGTTTTCTTGGCTGTAATCTTTATGGAAGAGTCCCTGGGTGACGCAAACGGTTGAGCTTTCAACTACTAGCCGAAAGGTTAGGGGTTTGAACCCACCTAGAGACACCTCGGAAGACAGGCCTGGAATCTGCTTCTGAAAGGTCACAGCCTTGAGAACGCTATGGAGCAGTTCTACTCAGAACACATGGGGTCATCATGAGTTGGAATCGACTTGACGGCAACTAACAACAACAATATTTATGGAAGCAGATGGCTAGGCCTTTCTTCTGTGGCACCATTGGGTGGGTTTGAACTTCCAACTTTTCAATTAGTAGCTGAGCGAGCAAATTGTTTGTACCATCCAGGGACCTGGGAACTCCAGTTACACATATGTTTAACCTTTTGAGCATTTCTTTATCTTCAGTATCTGGATCATCTCTGGTTCTGCTTCTGTTTTGTTTTTTCCCTTGGTGGTTTTGTTTTGTTTTTGTTATATGGCTTTGCCTCTTTGCATGGATAATAATTTTTGATTGTATGCTGGACACTGTATGTGAGAGGATCATATAGACACTTCACGCCAGATGAATTTGATCATTTGGAGTAATTTTTGCAGTAAATAGTTTCGAATGGTAAATTGCTGACATTCCACATGCATCTTAATGTAGTGCGTATATTTCCTGAAAACGGGGCTGGGTGTAGACCTGAGGTTATCTTCCCGCAGAGGAAGGGATTAGACATTTTGTAAACCCTCCCTTCTTGGGCAAATTAACTTAACCTCTGTCCCTCAGTTTCTTAATTAGGAAATGGGGTTAATAAGTAGTACCTACCTTGTTCTGTGGATTTAATTAGATATACATGTTTATTGTTTATTAGTACATTGCCTGGTAAATAGTAAGCACTCACATAAACATTACCTTTATCTTTATTATCACTAGATATCCACATAGCCCTGAGAATTTGTGAGCTACTGAGCAGTATTAATTGAGTGACCCCTGAAGAGGAGAGGCCAGTGAAGAAAATCCTTTTCATTTAGGATGCATTATTAAGCATTACTGACATTTTTTCCTAGGTCCTTTTGGTTGTTTTTAAATTTGAGAGGAAAAACTAGAGGACTAACTTTAAATTTTTAAGATTTTTTTTTTTCATCTAGTACCCGTATTAGTATTTGTTGATTTTAGTCTGTATAAAAATGGCATGGCGGCATCTGACCTCCTCTAACTTCACAAAAGGGAAGGAGAATCAAGATCAACAGCCCAAGGCTGATTCCTATGAGGCAGAGGTCAGACATGCCTCCTCTCTCTGCCATCTTTACCAACTCTGACACCAGCCATCTGTCCCACAGTGCTCTGTACTTCTCTGCTGGGTTCGATAATTCATTGCAGTGGCCACACAGAACTCAAAGACAGTACTCAAGATTATGGGGTGTATTAAGGAAGTAACAGGTTACAATTTAGGCTCAGGAACACTCAGGATACAGTTCTTCCATCAAGACAGCCTCTTCTCAGCTGTGCCCACAGGGATGCCTCTCTCTGGCCCCTCAGCCTCTGCCCTGCCGGGGCAAGTGTTACAAAGCTCTTTTAGCTCTGCCGATAAGTGCCCCAAGGTACCCCACTCCGCCAGTAAGCCTTGGCCTGAAGACGCTCAGCTCTAGCTCCATGGGCCGGGAAGCCCACTGCACTCTCTCCTGCTGGTCTCCCCTGCCCCGCTTTCTCTGCTACCACTTCTCGCCATCTTCAGTGTTAAAGCTCACTCTCTCTCTCTGTTTCGTGGGTCTAGGAGGGTCTCAGTTTAGGGATCCCAGGTCCAAAGGACACGCTCTGCTCCTGGTTCTTCTTCCTTGGTGGTGGTGACATCCTCTTCCTGGTCTGGACTTGGCTGTCTTATTAAGACCAGCAGGATGGCAAAACTGACCAATCCCCTTAGTGGGCCACAGTTACCTTATTTGCACAGTCCCACCCAATCACTTGAGTGGGAGTTACAAGACCATGGTGAGAAGGGCCACACAAAAGCGATCCATCACACCGCAGTTTGATTTTCCAAAATTGCTAGTTGGAATTTTAAAGTTCACTTACTATGTGTAGTAGAATATTTGGAGGTTCTGTATTACAACTACCTGTTTCTTTAAAAATTTCTTAGTCTGTTTAGGACTGGTAGTGAGTTATTATTAAAGTATGTCTTTTCTTATTAAATATCTTAATGCTTGTAGGAAACTTTGAGGGAAATTTTGAGTCTCTGGACCTCGCGGAGTTTGCTAAAAAGCAGCCATGGTGGCGCAAGCTGTTCGGGCAAGAATCTGGGCCCTCTGCTGAGAAGTATAGTGTGGCTACCCAGCTGCTCATTGGAGGCGTAACTGGATGGTAAGTGATGTGACGGTTGTTCATGTCTTTAACAAATGAAAACACATTGACTTTTGTGAAACTGGTCACTTATTTTGTAGCATTCGTCTAAACACTGTGTTCTAAAGTACTACTTAGTGGTTACACCTATTGAATATTTACTCCCTGTCAGGCACTATTTGAAATATTTATGTAGATTATCTCATTTCCTCCTCACAACAGTTCTATGAAATCGGTTATTACCAATCCAAACCTACCCCCATGTTATAGAAACTGAGGCTCAGAAAGGTTAACTTGCTCAAGGCTGCGTAGCTAGTAAGTGGTGGAATAAGGAGTAACTGTGTCAGATGATAATTTCCTTAATATGATACAGTTTATGGTTTCATTTATAATTTAAGAAATGTTAATAGCAAATTTAGAAAGTGAATATCTAACCATCAGCCTCATAAATTCTACTTCTTAAATTTGAAATTTTTATTGTGAAATATAACAAATACAGAACAGTGCATATAACAAATACACATTTTAACAAATGCTTATATGGTGAACACTTAGTCCCTGTTGCTCTCTGTTCTGATTTAAAAAAAAAAATGCACCTAGCACTCCGGAAACTAGAGGTAAATGCTGTCTTCGCTGTTGTGCAATTATTCTCTTACCTGTCTTTGTAGTTTTAACACGAAACAATACAGTGTAGTTTATCATTATAAATACGTTATAATTGTTAGTAATATATAATACTATAAAATATAGTAATATATTTTTATCACTAAATAATATAGTATAGTTTCCTGGTTTTGAACTTTAAGAAAATGGAATCATACAGTATGTGTTATTTTGAGTCTTAACTTTTTTTTGCTCAACCTTATGTTTTGTACATTCAACCATGTTGTGTGTTATTGTGGTTTGTTCATTTTCATTTGTATTTAGAATTCCATTGTATGAATATACCACAGCATATTTATCCAGTTGCCTGTTGACTGACATTTGAGTATTTCAGTTTTTGGCTAATACAAGTCTCCTAGTGCATATGTGCATACTCTTCTTAGGGTTGGAGTTGAATTGCTGGATCATAGGGTATAAGGATCTTCAGTGTGATGGTCAGGGTTGTGTGTCAACATGGCTGGGCCATGATTCTCAGTGGTTTGGCAGTTATGATGTTGTTTGGCAGTTGTATGATAATGTGATCACCTCCATGATGAGATCTGATATAATGTGATCTCCTCCATGATGAGATCTGCTGTGAGCAGCCAATCAGATGAAAGGGAGTTTCCTTGGGGTATGACCCGCATCCAGTATATATAGACTTTCTGGCAAAACTCGCTGGCTTTTGGTCTGCTCTGGATCCTGCACCTGGCTTGTCATCATCTGAACTCCGGTTCTTGGAACTTGAGCCAGCAGCCTGCCATCTTAACTGCTCATCTTGGGTTCGTCAGCCCCTGCAGCTGCATGAGTCAGGAGAAGCCTCCAGCCTGACGCTTGACCCACAGACTTGGGACTTTCCAGCCTCTACAACTGCGTGAGCCATTTCCTTGAGGTAAATCTCTCTATCCCTGCCCCCAACATGTATATGTGTGTGTGTGTATATATGTATGTGTGTGTGTGTATATATATATATACAGACACACATACACATAAGCATCACTGGTATTGCTTCTCTAGAGAACCCAGCCTAAGACACTCAGCTTCACAAGATTATGTCAAACTGCTTCCCAAAAGTGGTTACAGTAGTTTCCACTCCCAGTGGCAATGATTGAGAGTGCCTGTTGCTCCATGTTCTTGGCAGCCTTTATATTTCCAGACTTAATTTTTTTTCTCATTCGAAACTTTATACACAAATTGTTTTGTGACATTAGTTGTAATCCCTGCAGTGTGTCAGCACTCTCCCCCTTTCCCTTTCCATCCTGGATTCTACGTGTTTCTTCCTCTAGTTTCCCTGTCTCTTCCTGCCTGCTCATCTTTGCTTTTGGGCAGGTGTTGCCCATTTGGTCTCGTATACTTGATTGAACTAAGAAGCACATTCCTCATGTGTGTTATTGTTTTATAGGCCTGTCTAATCTTTGGCTGAGAGGTGGACTTTGGGAGTGGCTTCATTTCTGAGTTAGCAGGGTGTCCTAGGGGCTATAACTCAGGGGTTCCTCCAGTCTCTGTCAGACCAGTAAGTCTGGTCTTTTTTTTTTTTTTTTTTGGTGAATTTGAATTTTGTTCTACATTTTTCTCCCACTCTGTCTGGGACCCTCTGTTGTGATCTCTGTTAGAGCAGTTCGTGGTGGTAGCCGGGCACCATCTAGCTTTTCTGGGCTCAAGTTGGTGGACGCTGTGGTTCCTGTGTCTTTGGTTTTTTTCATTCTCCTTTGCTCAGGTGGGATCCAACCAATAGATGTATCTTAGATGGCCACTCACAAGCTTTTAAGACCCCAGACACTACTCTCCAAAGTAGAATGTAGAACATTTTCTTTATGAACTATGTTGTGCCAGTTGACCTATATGTCCACCAAGACTGTGGTCCTCAACCCCAGTAACTCAGTCTCTCAAGGTGTTTGGATGTGTCTAGGAAGCTTCTATGATTTTGCCTTGGTCAAGTTGTGCTGACTTCGCCTATATGGTATGTTGTCTTTTCCTTCACCACAGTTAACACTTGTCTACTATCTAGTTAGTGATTTCCCCTCCTCACCCTTTCCCTCCCTCGTACCCATGAAAGGTTGTTTTTTTCTGTGTGTGAAACTTTTCTTGAGTTTTTATAGTAGTGATCTCATACAGTATTTGTCCTTTTGTGATTGACTTATTCAGCATAATGCCCTCCAGATTCACCCATGTTGTGAGATGTTTCACGGATTCATTATTGTTGAGTAGTATTCCGTTGTGTGTATGTACCATAATTTGTTTATCCATTCATCTGTTGATGGACATTTAGGTTGTTTTCATCTTTTTACTATTGTGAATAATGCTACAATAAACATGCGTAAGCATACGTCTATTCCTGTGATGGCTCTTATTACTCTAGGATATATTCCTAAGAGTGGGATTGCTGGATTGTATGGTATTTCTATTTCTAGCTTTTTTTAAGGAGATGCCATATTGTTTTCCATAGTGGTTGTGCCATTTTACATTCCCACCAGCAGTGCATGAGCGTTCCAGTCTCCCTGCCACCTCTCCAACATTTGTTATTTTCTGTTTTTTTGATTAGTGCTGGTAATGTTGGGGTGAGATGGTATCTCATTGTAGTTTTGATTTGCATTTCCCTAATGGCTAATGATCACGAGCATTTCCTCATGTGTCTGTTAGCTGCCTGAATGTCTTTTTTGGTGAAGTGTCTGTTCATATCCTTTGACCATTTTTTATTGGATTATTTGTCTTTTTGTTGTTGAGGTGTTGAAGTATTGTATAGATTTTAGAGATTAGACCCTTGTCAGATATGACATAGCCAAAATTTTTTTCCCAACCTGTAGGTTTTCTTTTTACTTTTTCAGTGAAGTCTTTTGATGAGCATAGGTGTTTAATTTTTAGGAGCTCCCAGTAATCTAGTTTATCTTACAGTGTTTGTACATTGTTAGTTATGGTTTGTATGGTATTTATACCATCTGTTAGAGCTCCTAGCATTGGTCCTATTTTTTCCTTCCATGATCTTTATCATTTTAGGTTTTATATTTAGGTCTTGATCCATTTTGAGTAGACTGTTCAATTTTTTCCTGTCTTAGTTACATAGTGGTATCTCACTTTGGTTTTCATTTACATATCCCTGAGTACTGGTGACATTGAGCAACTTTTACACCTGTTTGTTGACCATTTTTGGATCTCTTCTTTGATGAAGTCGCACTCAGATCTTTTGCCAGTTTTTATTAAGTCGTCAGTCTTTTTCTTACTGAGTTGTAAGAGTTCTCTGTATATTCTGAATATGAGTCCTTTGTTGGTGTATGTGTTACAAATATTTTCACTCCGTCTGCATTCTGCACTTGTTTTTTTCATTTGCTTTATGATATCTTTTGATGAACTGAAGATCTTATTTTTAATATAGTCAGTTTTATCAATCTTTACCTTAATGATTAGTGATTTTTTTGTCCTATTTAAGTAATCTTTGTCTACCTTATGTTCTAAAACTTATACTGTTTTACCTTTCACATTTAGATTCATAATCTACCTGAGTTGTTTTTGTGTTTTAGTGTGCATTAGATGTCTTATTTCATTTTATCCCACATACAATACCCGGTTGTCCCAGCTTAATTTATTGCAAAAGCCATCCTTTTCCCAGTACTCTGCTGTAACACCTCTGCCATATATCAAGCATCCATATGTGTGTGTGTGTGTCTGCCATCTTGTTCTTCAGAAACATCTTGGCTAGTCATTTTCCTTTTTTGTGCATGAGATATACCTCAGTAAAATAAACTGGCATATCATACGTATCATAAAGTATACGGTTTGATAAGTTTTGACACATGTACACATCCATAAACCATCACTACAATCAAGATAATGAACATACCACCCATCACCCCAAAAGTTTCTTTGTGCCTCTTTGTAATTCCACCTTCTGACCCTTTATGCCCCCCCACCACTTATCTGTCACTATAGATTACTTTGCATTTTCTAGAATTTTATATAAGTGGAATCAGTATGTACACTTTTTGTCTGTATATTTTTTTATTTTTTCCCATACAAACATTTATGCATACATTGTTACGTGACTCTAATTGCTCTCCCCATATTGTGACAGCACACTCCTCCTTTCCACCCTTGATTCCCCATGTCCATTCAACAGGCTCCTAACCCTCTCTGCCTTCCCATCTCACCTCCGGACAGAAGCTGCCCATTTAGTCTCTGGTATCTACTTGAGCCAAGAGGCACACTCCTCACGAGTATCACTTTATGTCCCACAGTCCAGTCCAATCCCTGTCTGAAGAGTTGGCCTTGGAAATTGTTTTAGCTCTGGGCTGATACAGAATCAGTGGGCCTTGCTTTCTGGGGTTCCTCCAGTCTCAGTCAGACCAC